TAGGCTCTATGGGTGAGTTAGAGGTAAAAGCAACAGATATTTCTTGATTATCTACATGGTTACAATCCCAAATCCGAAATTCTGAAATACAGATTGTTCTGAAAACCAAAATTTCTTTTCTTGGTTGGCACCAAAACTCATTGGTGGCAAAACCTGACATGAAGGGGTTTTATTTGTTTGTTTGCTTGCAGAAGGACCCTCTGTTGTCCTATGCCTGTGTTGGCTGCCTGGAAGCTTTGCTTGACTACCTGCATGCCCGGAGCCCAGACATCGGTAGAAACCTTCCCCATTCTTTGATGTTCCCATAGGGGTGGCCAGCCCCTGCCACCCTTCTGTCCCAGACTCCCAACCTCTGTTTTTTGATACACACTCATTTTGTTTAATTCTTTTCATAACATGCAAGGGCATTATAATGACCATTATACAGATGAGGACACTGCAGTCCAGAGAGGTCAAGTAACCTGCCCAACCAAGGTCACAAAGCTCCGAAATGGCACAGCCCTTCCTCCTGCTTCCCACAATAGTGGGATATGTGGTTTCCCTGAGCCAGGCAGCATAGGTGGCTAGAAGCCCAGGGAAGAAAGAAACTTGCAGTGGCCAATTTGTCCCAGGCCCTACCGCTAGCTGAGCAGCCCCTTTTTGAGACAATAAGAGAACGTCTTCTTCAGCAATGTTCCAAGGCCTACAGAAAAGCAGCAGTAACAACCCAGGGTGACTGGTGTTTCCTGTAGCATTCCATGTGGCCTCCCAGCCTTGGAATCGGTTTTTGCTGTTTACCCTCCTGGATGCTGGAGAGAGTTCCTTCCTCAGACCTGATATCTTGAGGTTCATGACCCTGGTAAGTGCAGAATGGATGGTCCTGTGGTGTGAAGGTTGTTATGAGCTGTGTGGTCCTGAAGAGGCCAGGTAGAGGGGTAGAAAGCAGAGGGGCTGGGTGGGCCTTCACCGTCTTTGAGAGCTGCTCAGAGAATTCCTCTAAGCGCCCACATCTTCTCACCCCAAAAGACCCAGATACTCTTTCTTTTTTTTTTTTTTTAAGATTTTTATTTATTTACTTGACAGCTATATATGGAGAGAGCACAAGTAGGCGGAGAGGCAGGCAGAGGGAGAGGGAGAAGCAGGCTCCCCACTGAGCAGGGAACCCAACATGGGACCCAATCCCAGGACCCTGGGATCACAACCCCAGCTGAACGCAGGCTCCCCCCAGATGCTCTTTCTAATTCATTTGCACGTGAAACATTGGCCAAGGCTTGTCTGCCACATCCAGATCCTGTGCTAGGGACCAAAGATGTCACCGAGCCAAATGCTCTGCCTTTTAAGGGTCCCCCAGTCTAGAGAAGAAAATAGAAAAGGAAACTAATAGTTAAAACATGATGTTATGGGGCGGCTGGGTTGGCTCAGTGGGTTAAGCCTCTGCTTTCTGCTCAGGTCATGATCCCAGGGTCCTGGGATTGGGCCCCACATTGGGCTCTCTGCTCAGCAGGGAGCCTGCCTCCCCGCCTCTCTCTCTCTCTGCTTGCCTCTCTGCCTACTTGTGATCTCTGTTAAATAAATAAGTAAAATCTTTAAAAAAAAAAAAAGAAACATGATGTTATTAGTGGCTCAGCAGAAGATATGCTAAGTGCCTGGCACACAGTAAGTGCCCACTGAGTAAAGAACAAAGCCGTGAGCCTGTGAATGGTAGTGAAGTGGATCAGTGAATAAGGCAGTGGTTGGTGTGGGAACACGGAGACGAGCACAGGTGACCACTGAATGACGTGGGGGTTAGGGGTGCTGACCCCCTTACAGTTGGAAATCTGCATATTAACTTTTGACTCCCCAAAACTTAACTACTAATAGCCCACTCTTCTCTAGAAGCCTTACTGATAACATAAACTGTCAGTTAACACACATTTTGCGTGTTATGTGTACTAAATACTGATTTTTACAATAAAGGAAGCTAGTAAAAGAAAATGTTACTAAGAAAATCATAAAAAGAAAATACTTTTATAATAGTGTATTATCGAAAACATTTGTGTCTAAGTGGACCTGTGCAGTTCACTCTCGTGTTGTTCAAAGGTTGACTGTAATTGCTTCTGCCAAAGCCAGGAAGGAGAGGTGAATAAGGATGCAGTAAGCACTCAATTAATGCCTCTCCTGTTTTAATGAAATGGAAACATTCAGCAGGAAGGTAACATTTTAGCTGAGGTTTGAAGGATTAATAGGCAAAGAAGAGGACAAGTGTTCCAGGTAGTGAAGTGAAAATAGCAGGTAAATGAATACATGGTGGTGTGTTTGGGTAACCACACATAGTCCTTTTTGGCCATGCGTGTTTCGTGCAGGGCCAAGGAGTGAGGGGAAGGGTACTGAAGAGGTCAGCAGGGCCAACTCTCTGAGTGTTTCACAGTGTGCCTAGTTTACACCCTTCTTCTATGACAACCCCACCTCTGCCCACCAACTCTGAGCTTCTGAAGGCAGGGTTCTCTGGGCTTCAGATCTGTGCCCCCAGCCCAGGGCCAGACACAGCAGAGGCACAGGAAATATTCCCGTGTGTTTGGGGCTTCTCTCCCTGGCCTAGCTTGTGCGGTTCCAGAGCAGCAGTGTCCTCTCTCACGAGGAGGTGGGTCATGTTCTGCAAGCCGCGGCTCTGGCTGACCTCTCTACCCTGTCGAACAACACACGCCAGGCTCTGCGTGGCTTCTTCCTGCAGGTGGGTGGGGAGGGGATGCTGTGTAGCCACTGTAAGGCTAGACCCTCCACGCCGTTTTCTGTGCGGAGGATGGTGGTTCTGGCCACAGCAGCTGAGGGGAGGGCAGAGTGCAGAGGGTGGAGGGTTGAGAGGGCCTGTGTGGAGTGGCTGCTGAGAAGGACTGTCTTCCCTGCCGTCGTCTTCCTCCAGGTCCAGAGCATGGGCCTCCTGGTTGATCACACCACGGCCCAGACCCTGCAGGCCTCCCTAGAGGGCCTTCCCCTGAATAGCTCCTCCACCCAGCCACCCCTGGACATGCTGTATCCTTTCTTGCATCTGGGAGCCTTGGCCTGGGCAAGGTCACTCAGGCTATGGGAGGCTGTGGCATCATGCTTCAGAAGGGTGACACTGTCTACAGCCCTGTCCTTTAAAGCATCTGCTTCAGTGAGAATAATAGTGATAGCAATGACAATAGCTTATTCTTTTTAAGTTCCTACCAAGGGCCACGCACATTACTTGCACCATGTCTAATCCTCACAGAAGCTAGGGTGTTAACATAGATGTAACTTAGACCAGAGAGGTTAAATGATGTGCCCAGGATCACACAGTAATAGCATCAGGATCTGACCCCCATTTGTCTGCCTCCAAAGCCACATTACCAAACTCAGGAAGGAGCCAGTCCTTCCCCAAGAGCTTTGGAGAAAGTTGCACAAATCCAGCAGATACAGGTACTTCCCTCAGGCCAGTGTGTGTGTGGGGGGGTGATGTCCCTGAGAAAGCCTGGGGCTGTGGGCAGTGGCTAGAGGCCCTCTGGGGGTGGTTGGGGTGCCCCAGAGACACTTCCGTCTGGGTGTTCAATCTGGTTCAGTCCCCATCCCTGCTGGCTACCTCCCTGGCTCTCCTTCCCCTGTGCCTGAAACAGTTCCCTGTTGAATAGCGACTAGCTACTCTGGTGTTTGGGTCCCAGCTTTAGAACCCAGCCCGATCTTCCTACGGCACCTCTGAGCACTGGAAGTGTAGTTCTCCCATGGTTGGCTCCACCTTTCTGCTGTTTTCCTCTCATGTTTTGCTGCCAGTTGCCTGGGAGGGGTGGCTGTATCCCTGTCCCACATCAGAGACTGACCTTTGTAGAAGGCCCAGAAACAGAGAACTAAGACCTGGTGAAGAGAAAGGATTGTTGGGGAAATGGATGACAACTGTAGCCATTAACTCCATTGTTGAAGTGGAGTCAGGAAATAAAATGATACACTCAACATGTCTCTGTGGGCTCTCCAAAAACGTTTCGGACGTGACTTGTCTTGGCTCCCTGGAGCTGGTGACTCTGTCACTCAGACAGTGGACTGCTTCCGTGAGGAATGGATGGCCTCCTCAGGGACGGGGGGCTGGGATTTGTTCTGGTAACATGTAAAGAGCACCAGCCGGCTGCCTCAGTTGTACCCAGAAAAAAACCAGCAAGGCCATCCACGGGTCTGGAAGTGCAGAGAAAGGCCATGTGTGTGGTACCCGTGTGATCCAAGTGCTCCAAGAGGCACTTTACCTGCTCCCTCACCTCACATGAAGGTGGAGAGAGGTGCAATTTCCAGGCAAGGAAGCTGAGCAGTTCAAATCCTGTGCCTCGCTAGCCCAGCACAGCTGTTCCCTGGCTAGAGCAGGTCCCTTGTGTTTTTTCCGTGTGCCCTCCCCAGAGTTAGTATTTGATTACCGCGTGTGCAGTTCTTTTAAGGTCTGCTCTCCACAAATGTGCTGCTTCCTGTTCCCAACTCAGCCCACCGCGCCTCTGGCTCGTCCGCTTGCCGAAACCCCCGGTCCCCCCATCCCCGACCTGGGTGCCCGTAACTGGGCAGCCCACCCAGCTCCTCGGGTTTGGCTGTTGGGACCCTGCACAACACTGGTCTGAACTCCGTCCTAATGAACGGATAGGGAGGCCCCCGACGAACTAGGTTTAGAAGCTGGTGGACTGGAGAGGCGAGCAGGGGATGCACCAACTCCGAACTGCAGTTGTCTTTAAAAAAAAAAAAAAAAAAAGGGCTAGTGGTGACCCGCCAAACTGATTGCGTCAACTACAGTTTAAAAGATACTGTCAGCTTATGAAAAGTTTCGGTCAGGGTCCCAGTCCGCTGGCGCGCCCTTTGAGTCGGGCCCAGACCCCACGCAGGCTTAACTTCCTCCAATCTGACCGTGACAGGGCGACAGTCGCTACCCAGTCACAAGGTGGGCGGGACAAGACTCGGGTTTGCCGCGCTGGGGTCCGGGCGGGGCGGGGCAGGAAGTGAGGTCAGCGGAGCGGCGGTCGCGGCCCGCGCTCATTGGCGGGGTCGCGCTCGGAGGTTCCTGCGCTGCTGCTGGCGCCTAGTGTGAGGTTCCGCGTCTCTGCAGTTCGCCGGGTGGACCCCAGAGCCGGGCTGCACACCGACGTCCTATCCGCACGCCTCTGACCGCACTGACCTGCCTGGTAGGTGGGGCCGGGGGTCGAGGGAGGGCGGGCTCCTAGTGGGGCTGGAGCGCAGGGACCAAGGGCCCCCGAACCTGCTGCTGGGGCTAGCGGATGAGATTCGCGGCCCCGGAGTCTTCTCGTCGGAAGGACTCGTTGTCTCCTCTGGGAGCCTCAAAGGCTCGGGTCAGCAAGCCGGGTCCGCGAGCCCGCTACCGCCATGTTCCCCTTACAGAATGGGTTGAGAGCCTCGTACCCAGCCGGGAAGAGCGCTGGGAACGCACGGGGCGGGGAGCGGGATTGAGAGGCAGGGTCCGCCTCCACGCGGTCTGCTTTTTCGGTTTCCCTTTCCCGCTTCTCCTGCTTCGGTCGTTACCGGCTGTCTGATTCCCCCTGGCTTCAAGTTCTGCCCTAGCCCGCCCGGGTCGTTCTCTTGAGTCTAGAGCGTGACGTTGGAAGGCAGGTGGTCCTGGGCGAACTTGGACTACTCCTTCCCGTCCTGGAAGCTTCAGTTGTCTAATCCTCAGGCACCGGGACGGTTCTCTGAATGACCTCTGCAGGCTCTGTCAATCACTGAGCGTCTTTCCCCGGGAGCAGGTGTCCTGCTAGTACAGTGGCGGCTTTGAGGTAGCCTTTGCTTATCCAGAATCTCATTAGCCTGGGAATAGCTGAGTATCTTTGGACAATCACCTCACTTTTCTGTGCCTTGGTTTCCACATTGGTAAAATTGGGCAGCTGTCACCTGACCACTGTGTTTCATATTCCACCCTGTCAGCTCCCTTACCCTTTTGTGCTTGTTTTACAGGTTTATTGATTGTCCCTTTCCCCTTCTGGGGACACAAGTACCATGAATGCAGTGATTTTTGTCTTAGACACCAGTGTATTCCCAGGTCTCAAACAGTGCCTTGAATGTGGAATTTAAAAATTAATTAGGGAATAGTGCTTGAGTAGGAACAGGTGTAGCTTGTGGTGCCTGTGGTTCCACAGTGAGTGAGTGGCAGGCAGCCTTCTTACCCAAGACTGTGCACCCTCCTTTCCTGCCCCAAATCCCTTCTTCCATTCTTTTTTTTTAAGAGTTTATTTTTAAGTAATCTCTACACCCAGTGTGGGGCTCGAACTTACAGCCTCAAGATCAAGAGTTGCATGCCCACTGACAGAGCCAAGCAGGTGGCCCCTTTCTGTTCTGATGACAGAAGTCAGAGAGGGAGGGAAACTGAAAGTTTTCACATCTCCCCTGGGCTTCCGTAACCGGACATCTTCCTGGGGCCCAGGATGGGGTATATTGAAAGGGAATGATAATGACCGGACCCCCCTTCCCCAGGCACAATGCCTCACCCAGTCCTTTCTCCCTACAGTAGGGAGAAACCTCTGTTTTACAGGTGAAAAAGCTGAGGCTCAGGCTGAGCAATTTGCCCCAGGGCCCACAGTCAGAGGCTGAGCCAAGGCTCCAGCCCAGAGCTCTAGACACTGACCCCTGTGCCTTAAGCGTTCCTAAATTGCCAATAGTATCGGTATATCTGTATATATACCCTCCTACCATCCCACAGTGTTTATGGAGTGTCTGGTGGTCACAGGCCCCGGGCTGAGACTAGTGCTCTAGGGCTTCCCAAAGCTGGGTTCCTGGTATCTGGAGGCCATGGCATGTCAGGAAGTTGCTGTTCACCTGCACTCTTTATTTTATAAAACCAAGCTCTGGATCTTACCTCTCTCTGGGTTACTTTCCTAGTCCTAGGATCTTGGATATGGATCTTCAGTTCCTGGCCTTCCTCTTTGTCCTGCTGCTGTCTGGGACGGGAGTCACAGGCACCCTGAAGACCTCCCTGGACCCGAGCCTGGAGATCTGTATCCTTTGCCATGGGAGGTAGTGTTAATAAGCTCTTTCTGAGGTTGTCTATAAACAGTCTTTCTGGACCCACAAACGCTTGGATTTCAGGATTGGAGCAGACCCAGTCTATGGGAATGGAAGAAAAGGTGAGGTGTTCTGACCAACACTTGATCGAGTCAGTTCTCTTCTAAACCTCAGTGTCCCTGTATGTTGAACAGAAAAGGCAAGGCATACTTCTTCTGAGGATTGTGCGTGTGCTTTGCATCTTATGGGGGAGACCCTAGGTGGAGACTTAGGCCCTGGCGTCCTCAGCTACCTGCTCTGGGGCCAGACCTCAGAGACGCAAAGAAGAGTCAGGACCAGTCCTTGGCTTTGAGGAACTCACAGACCTCACGCTCTTCTCTTCAGTCAGTACTTTTATGAACCATGGTTGGGGAAGAGGGGCAGGGAGAAACGTGGTGTGGCTTTTGAACTGGGTCTTGAGAGTACAAACTCATGGAGGGGTTGGGGGCAGTGGCATCCCAGGTGAAGTGTACAGTGTAAGCAGAGAGGAGGTTCTGGAAATAGTGAATGGTTGCAGCAGGTGGCAGGAAGACCATGGGGAGGGTGGCGAGGAGCCAGGTCGTCAGGGTTGTGTTCAGGGTGTCAGATATAGAATCTTACATGAAATGGATGCCTATGCCTCCCAGTTTGTCTCTTCCCTGGCGGTGGGGGACAAGGGGGGTGTCTCAGCCGTGGGCATCTCCGGCCCTTGCAGACACTTTCTGTCGGGAATGGGGCCTCTGGACTGGGACCGCTGGATTGTCCAGGCAGGAGTATGGGTGCCAGCCCCTTAACTTCATGCTGCTCAGACAAGAAGATGTTTGAGGTGAAACGGCGAGAACAGCTGTTGGCACTAAAAAACCTGGCACAGCTAAACGATGTCCACCAGCAATACAAGATTCTTGACGTCATGCTCAAGGGGCTCTTTAAGGTGCGTGTGGGCGTGGGGCAGCTCACGGCAGGCCCAGTCTTTGATCTGGGCACTGAAGGATGGGTAGGATTTCCCTAAGGGCATGGTGTTCAGTGAAGGGGGACTACATGCACAAAAGTTTTGAAATAGGGTTTAAATAAATAGGGCCATGTGTGAAGGGCTCTGCAAAGCCACTCAGCCTGGGTGGGGTTCCCTCAGGTGCTGGAGGACTCGCGGACAGTGCTCATTGCTGCAGATGTGCTCCCAGATGGGCCCTTCCCCCAGGACGAGAAACTGAAGGATGGTATGGTCTTCCCAATCTTACTCCTCCCCGCTCCCCACCACCTTGACCTTCTCTAGCTGCTCCTTCCCTCCTATTCTCACGCTTTTTTTCTGTGGAAGTATCTGCTTAGAACACCTTCCAAGGGGTCCCCTTGGGTGTGTGGATACTTAAACCATATTTCTGGGCTTCAGAGCCAGTTTCTGGATATAGTTCTTTGTACTGTCTTGTGCTGGGGGCAAGGGAAACAGGGAGAAGCTTCTGCCTATGACCTCACCTCAGGGATTCTTGCCTTTTCTACCATCCTGACCCTTGCAGTAGAGAAGGCAAGGGTTGTTCCCGTTTATAGGAGAAAAAACCTAAATTCTATTGAAGAGAATGGCCAGTGGGGGCAATTCAGAGTGCTCTTTACTACTGTTTGAAAGCCCCAACCCCCTTAAATCCTTTTTGAGACATGATGGGAAGAATAGATAAGTAAAATAATGTCCTGTGTCCCTTCATCCCCTCTTCTAAGAATTGTTCTCTTGGGGTAATTCCCCCTCCCCCGTGTTAACCGGTCATAATCTAACAATAAAACTTGTTAGATTATACTGTCTGAGAGAGGATGGAAATAGCATTTATATATCAGATGGTGGGCACTTCACAAACACCATCTCGAGTCTCTGCTCTAACTCTGAGGAAGGTACTATTGCCCCCGTTTTCCAGATAAAAAGAGACTAAGGGGTTTGCTCTTGCAAACCTGTAAACCAAGCTAACTTCCTGAGTTCTTTGAGGCTTAAGGCTGTTCTGAAACCCAGAGGTTTCTGTTCACCAGAAACCTGGACCCAACCTGGCATATCTTTGGAGGAGTCTGCTTATCTCTCTGTGCGTCCTGGCTGATGCTGGTGAGAGCTGCCTGGGCCTTATCTGCAGGGATGGCCAAACAGCAACTTCAGCGGGGCTGGGAGTGTTCTATTTCATGGTAGCCTGGGTGGGGGGACGTTCCGCCATGATGGACACACTGACTTAGTCAGAACTGATCTGTTGACCAGAGGAAGGACGTTAGTGGGAAAACTGGTGAAATTCAGATAAGGTCTAATGATTAGTCCTGATGTTAATTCCCTTGTTAGATAGCTGTACAATGGTTACGTAAGATGATGACATTAGGGGAAGCCAAGTGTAGGAATTTTATGATGTATGATGGAAGTCTAAAGTTATTTTAAGGGGCGCCTGGGTGGCTCAGTGGGTTAAAGCCTCTGCTTTCGGCTCAGGTCATGATCCCAGGGTCCTGGGATCGAGCCCCGCATTGGGCTCTCTGCTCAGCGGGGAGCCTGCTTCTTCCTCTCTCTCTGCCTGCCTCTCTGCCTACTTGTGATCTCTCTCTGTCAAATAAATAAATAAAATCTTAAAAAAAAAATAAAGTTATTTTAATATAAATCTCAAGAGGCATTTGGAATAAAATAAAGGGGCACCTAGTTGGCTCAGATGGTTAAGCATCTGCCTTGGGCCCAGGTCATGATCTCAGGGTCCTAGGGTCAAGTCCCGCATCGGGCTCCGTGCTCAGTGGGGAGTCTGCTTCTCCTCCCTCTGCCTGTACCCTGAGCTCATTTGGATGTATGCTCTCTTTCTCTCTCTCTCTCAAATAAATAAATAAATAAAAATCTTTTTAAAAAATAAAAATAATATAAAATTGGAAAGATTTTTTAAAAAGAGCAAAAAGCCCCTTATGTGTTCCCCGGTGATCCTAATAGACCTGCCCTTCACATGCAGTGCAGTTGTGTTAACACTGGGGCCTGGCTCTGGGTATTTGGAGGCCAAGTTGGGGAAGTCAGACCCAGCCAAGCCTCACATGACACATGGGTCTTCATGTGCAAAATGACACCCACCTCTCTGGTCCCCACAACAAATGAGTTACAGGGGACAGAACATGGCCCTTGGAGTCAGACCTGGGTTTGCAGCCCAGCTTTGCCACTCACCCACCATCTGAGCCTCAGTTTCCCATCTGTACAGAGGGAACAGCAGCCACATCTCCCTGGAGGAAGTGTTGAGGATTCAGTGACCTGGTGGTCACTGATGGACATAAAGCCGTTAGTAGGCACTGCACACGTGGTCAGCCCCTGCAGAGAGCGGGCACAGTTCCCTTCTCTGATGAGTAGGCTTAGTGGGCTTCGGTTCTCTGAGGGGTGGCTGGGGTGGCCAGGCAGGCAGGAGAAGGACGTCTGCCCAGACCACTCATCAGGATCCTCTCGCCAGCTTTCTCGCAAGTAGTGGAGAACACGGCTTTCTTCGGTGACGTGGTGCTGCGCTTCCCGAGGATTGTGCACCACTACTTTGACCACAATTCCAACTGGAACCTCCTCATCCGCTGGGGCATCAGCTTCTGCAACCAGTCGGGTGTGTTTGACCAGGGCCCCCACGCACCCATCCTTAGCCTGGTAAGGACTGGCTGCGGCAGAGGAGGTGAGGGGGCCCTCTGCCTGGTGGTGTACCGCGAACCTCGCATCTGCCTTCAGTGGCGCGCAAATGTCAGCCCTGGGTCGTGTTTTCTGTGATGAGGCTCAGGGCACCCTGAGATTCTGTCTCAAGGGGTTCTGTGCTGACCGGGGTCCCTAGAGGTCATCATCTGTTCCACATCTGCCTAAGTCTTGGGCCTGGGTCCCACCGTGGAGGGAGTGGCCGTGGATAAGGAGTCAGGAGAAGGCAGAGGATGACTAACTCTTCCTCATCCACAGATGGCCCAGGAGCTGGGGATCAGCGAGAAAGACTCTGACTTCCAGAACCCATTTAAAGTAGACCGCCCAGAGGTAAGCTGCTGGAACCGATGGCCATGTCTACTCTGCCTCTGCGGGGTCATGGGCAGCCAGGTCATGTAGGGGCTGGGGCACCTTGAATGGAGGGCTTTCGACTTGGAGCCAGACATGTTTGGGTCTGGATGCACGTACCATCACTCATTCCTTGGTACCTTTGGGCAAGCTGCTGCCCCTGTCATAGCGTCAGGCTCCCTATCTTTTCATGGGGTATGGACCCCAGCTGTGGGGGGCAGTCAGAAGCTGTGAACGCACCATCCCTATGTACACTAGGCATCCAACATCAAGTGGACACCGGGGAGGTCAGGCCCTGTTTCTCTGACCTTGAGCCTCTGAGTGCTCAGCCTGGCTTCTGTCTCACATTCCTGCATATGCTTTCATCCTAGGGGGCTGAGGTGGGCTCCAAGGGCTGCAGGCTGCAGGGTAGGGTCACAGATGGGGACACATAGCAGGAGGAGGGAATCAGAGATGACAGGGCAGCAGGGGCAGGAAAGGCTGGAGGACTGGACTTGTCAAATCACAGGCTCTCCTCTGGTGCAGGAAGGAGTGTCAGGGTCCATGAGGGTCTAGGATTTTAGCTGCTCCTGCTTCATGGATGCTGACAGGTCAGAGACATCAGAGTTCATTGCGGCAAAAGCAATATGTAGACTGTTGGCCTGGTCATGTGGGTTCCCCTTGTTCCCCAAGTCACCCAGGGGTGACCCAGGGGCCCAGGCAGATACTGTGCATGCGGTGGGTTTGCATGAAGCTGAAGAATACCGAGTTTGGGATATTCACGGTCACGGCCTTCAGAATGAATAGAAGCAGACCTGCTCTTTATGGGAAGTCATCATGTCACCCTTCCAGGTTGTTCTCTGCAAGCCGTCCTGACAGAAGGCCCAGACTGAGTGATCAGGGCTCTGCTTTCTTGGGGAACCCAGTGAGAATCTGCAGGGATGCTCAGGGCCTTGGTTGATTGCCTCCCCCATAGTTCATCCCTCAGCCCTCTTGGCTTACCTTAAATTTCCGCATGACCATGCAGTTCAGTTCTGGTTGATCTCATAGGTAGAGGCTAGCATCACATATGTTCAGTTTGTTGCGTACTGCCATTTGGTTAAGGCTGCCATCAGCAGGACACTAAGCAGCGGGATGAAGCCAGTCTTCTGTGTTGATCTCAACCCCGCAGCATCGCAGACTCAGCCAGTATGAGAAGTCCTGCGCCGGCCAGTGGGGCTTACCTTAGATAATCAGAATGTGGTCTGAGGCCAGTCAGTTACCTGTTACCATCCACGTAAGAGTTTAGACTGACCTGCTGATCTTTGATGTTATTGTCAGTAATTACAGGGAGCAGTAGATGGACCCAGAGCAGTCCTTGTCCCCAGTAAAGGGACATTCATTTTTTCTTTATTTTAGAGTGTGTGCACATACTTGTGCTAGTGGGCAGGGGGCGGGGTGGGCAGAGGGAGAGAGAGAGAATCTTTTTTTTTTTTTTTTTTAAAGATTTTATTTATTTTTTTGACAGGCAGAGATCACAAGTAGGCAGAGAGGCAGCCAGAGAGAGAGGGGGAAGCAGGCTTCCTGCTGAGCAGAGAGCCCAATGTGGGGCTCTATCCCAGGACCCTGAAATCATGACCTGAGCTGAAGGAAGGAGCTTAACCCACTGAGCTACCCAGGCGCCCCGAGAGAGAGAGAATCTTGAGGAGGCTCCACACCCAGCATGGAGCCTGACATGGGGCTCTGGGCTCCATCTCACACCCCTGAGATCATGTCCTAAGCCTAAATCGAGAGTTGGTTCCTTAACCGACTGAGCCACCCAAGCGCCCCAGTAAAGAGACATTTCATGGCCCACTGTCTCCCACACGTTACTACTTGATTTGAGTCACCATTATATTATTGGCCTGAGCCCCGAGGGCAACATCCCTACGGAGCTGCAGCCTCAGTTGCCCTACTTGGCATAATGGAAGGTCACTCAGGCGTCAGGAGAAGCAGATGCATTTGTATCTGTCAGATTAAAGCAGGCTGTGCTGCTGAGCGTGTCTGCACAGGGTCCCTTTGGGAGTTGCCTTTGATGGCATCAGGCAGGCGCATTAGAGTAGTTCACTACTGACCATGTCCCTGTGAGTTTTCCTATCACAGGGTTGAGAGTGAGACACCCAACAGCTGACTAGATTGTCAGCTGCAGCTGCCTCTCAGCTTGGGCAGAACCTAGGGTTGTTTGCCAGGTGGCGGTGCTGGATCTAAGAGACCAAGAGGAATAATTGTTCCCTCCCCAGATGCTAAGATTGTTGCCACAAAATCAGGGTGTCACATCCCAGGACCTGTAATTCCACTTTTTCTCCAGTCATCTGCTACTCTCACCTGGACCTTTGTTTTATTTAGAAGGGTCAGCTATGAATGGGACAAGGGCATTTTTACAAAACAATCAGAGACACATTGTATCTTCCATCTTGGGCCACATGGGCCACCGTTACAGGGTCTTCGAGGGGTCGTTATCCTAATGATCTCAGATCATGCCTTCCCGACCAGCACCTCTAGGTAGTAAAGCCAGAAATACGGAGCCCCCTGCCCTGTGCCCGTCCACAGCGGCAGGTTTGCTGCCGCTTCCAGCACAATCCAGTATAACTGGGCAGCGGAGTCTTGCTCAGTGTTTTGATTCTGGTTGGTCTCATCAGAGAGTGGGCCTTAGGATGGACATCTGACCAACTGAGCTGGACTGTTAAACCATCCACCACAGTTTGTTTCCATGGTTTGTGGCCCCAGAGAGGAATGGTTGTTTTTGATCTGCCCGTTTGTTGTCTTCTAAGTGGCAGGCCAGACTACTAGAATGCTAATGACAGTCGGTAGAAATACACTGTGTGTGGTGTTCAGAGTGTCATCTAAGCGAGGGTGGTGGCTTCAAATTCGGATCAATATCTGACCGGCCCTGATGGCAGTTAGTCTTCCAGCTTTGTCACTGGGACTGGATGGCCAGTAGATACCAGTATCTAGGGTTCCTGAAAGCATCCCCAGGTTTGATGAGGACTGAGTGTGTGGTTGTGCTCGTGGCTGTAATTTATTACAGCGAAAGGATACAATGCAAAATCGGGAGAGGGAAAAGACTCATAGGGTGAAGTTTGAGGGAAACCAGGTGCCAACCTCCACGAGTCCTCTCCCAGTGGAGTTCCCCAGGAGCATATGTGTGACACGTGAGAAATTGTCTGTCAGGGAGGCTCATTAAAGACTCAGCTCGGGGTGCCTGGGTGGTTCAGTCAGTTAAGCGTCTGTGTTTGGCTCAGGTCATGATTCCAGGGTCCTGGGATTGAGCCCAGTGTAGGGCTCCTTGCTCAGCAGAGAGCGAGGAGCTTCTCCCTCTCCCTCTGCTGCTCCCCCTGCTTGTGCTCTCTCTCTTTCAAATAAATAAATAAAATCTTTAAAGAAAAAATAAAAAAGACTGTGCCCAGAGTTTTTATTGGGAGCTGGTCACTTAAGCAACCTCTGCCCAGTGCATTCCAGAATTCCAGACTCCCAGGAGGAAAGCAGGTGTTCAGCATAAACCACATTGTTTACAAAGTAGGCTCAGTGAACCACTCATTAATTAGGGCGGTGGGAGCCTCGCCCGCCAAATCCAAGTTTCCAGACACTAGCCAAGATCCCACCTTAGAAGCAGTCCTTTCGAAGACTAGCAGTGAGGCCCGCTGTGTTAACTCTTCTGGATGGCACCATTAGCTCTTAATTTAGGTGAACGTTCAGTGGACCCAGCATGAGTATTTAGGGGAACCTCTGAGTCAAGGGCCCCCTTGAACCAGTGGCTTTGCTCCAGGCAGCAGAATGGGGGATCGGGCTTTCCCTACCAGGGTTGCTGCTATCACCCCATCACGTAACGTCCCTTGAGCTTGCCTGCTTCCGTGGCAACCCTGATAAATGGCCGGTGTAAGAACAGTCAGGGCATACCCAGCAAGAATATGCAAGGACACTCAAGGTCATGGCAGATTGCCTTTCCCAGGGAGGGGCACCCACAGAGAAGCTTTATAGCTGTGACATCAGCTCTCCTTGCCCCATAGGTCATGAATGCCTCTGGCACAGGAGGAGGGTGAGACCATGAACCAGAGGGAACGGGTTCTAGGATAGATGTCCTAGTGTGCTCTGCTTGGAAATAACCATAGCAGCAACATCTGTGTCTTACTTGTCATTGGCTGGGGACGGTCTCAAGCTTTGACTCACTGTTTGGCCTTCAGTGTGGACCTGTCCCAGCAGCAGCAGCTCCCCGCATGCACTTGCCATGCCAGGGAGTACTGTGGGAATCCTCACCTGCTGCTCACGTACCCGTCTCTGCAACAACCCCGCTGCCCCTGTCCAGACAGGGCTGGCCCTCTCCCTGCTCTTCCTGTGCTTATGGTCTGTTGGGGAAGGCAGCAGGGAAACAGTCCTGATCTTGCGTGATCACCACACTAGGAGAGGAGGGAAGCATGGTGAGCTGTAGAACCCCTAACAGGGAACCTGACCCTGCTGCAGCAGGTGGGCGGTGGAGATAAATAAGACCCTGGGATAAATAAGACTTGAAGGGTGGACCAGCCTGGGGAGAACCTTCCAGGCAGAGGGACTAGTTAGTTGCACAAAGGCTCAGAGGCCTAGCACATGCATTTATCATTCCGTGAGCATCTCCTAAATCCCAGCCACTAGAGAAGCCACCAACTAGCCCTGCTCTCCTGGGACAGAGTCAATAAAAAACATATAATATAGTAGGTGGTGAAAAACAGGAGAATATGGGTAAGGATTCAGGGATAAGGTCCGTGGAGATATAATTGCTACTTCATGTGACTCAGACACAGAAGGTCTTACTGAAAAGACCCGAACAAGGCGAGGGAGCCAGCCGTGTGTCTGGGGGAAGAACATTCCAAGCCGAAAGAGCAGCAAGTGCAAAGGTCCTGAGTTGGAAGCATATTTGGGGGAGGGGAGGATGTGAGAAGATAAGGTCAGAGTAGGCCAGATCACAAGACCCTTTGCAGGGGGGGTTCTTCTCAGGGGCTTTGGCATTTCCTCTGAGACACATGGAGAGTGGGGTAATGGGCTCTGACTAACCCCCTTTAAGGGATCAGCCTGGTTGTTGTGTGGGGAGTAGTTTAGGGGACCAGGGTGGGAACAGGGACACTCATGAGGCTACTGTGCTTGTGCGTGTGGGAGTTAACGGTGGTTTAAACCAGGTGACAACAGTAAGGATGGCGAGATTCTGGTTGTTTAGAAGACAGAGTCAATACGATTTGCTAAGGAAGCAGATGTGGCATGAGAGACTCATTAAGAAGGACTAGAAGACTTTCGGCCTGCACGCGTGGAAGGTGGGGCTGCTGTTTTCTAAAATGGGCAGACTGTGGTGGGACCTGGTTGAGGCCTGGATTGCAGATCAGAACTTTGTTTCTGGACCTGGTGAGCATCTGAATGAAGATGTCAAGGAGGCGATTAGAAATTCAACTCCAGATTGGGGGTTGAAGCTCGGGCTACAAATGTGAGTCATGCTGTGAAGGAAGGTACAGAGAGCCACGGCCCAGGTTCTGTCCCATCACCCCAGGGCAGATAGAGCAGTGACGAGAGGGCTGAGGTCTGGGATGTGCCTACAGGTAGAGGTGGGAGGACGGGGAGAAACCAGCAAAGAAGTCCCAGAATGACAGTCAGCGTGAGAGTAGCAACCCAGGAGAGGATCGTTTCCTGGAGACCCCGTGAGGAGAGCGTAGCAAAGAGGGAGTGAGCAGCTTGTAGAATCTGCTGGAAGGCTGAGGAGCATGAGGCCTAAGAATAGGCCCCTGGATTTAGGACCATGGCCAGTAGCCATCAGAGATCCTAATACAAGCTGTTTTGGTGGAGTGGTCGGGACAAAGATCAGATTCGAGAGAATGAGAGGCAAGGAGGTGGGCACAACAAGTGCCAACTACCTTCGAGGAGCTTTCTTTTCAAGGGCAACAGACCAGTGGGAGAGCAGCTGGAGGGGGTGTGGATTCCAGGGGAAGTTTTCATCTGGTGGGAGAGACTAGGCGTGTTGATGGGGACAGCGCGTTAGCCGGGAAGAGTTGATGGTGCAGGGCCAGGAGCAAGTAAGGCAGGGGAGAGGATCTGGCACCCAGGGGAAGGGTCGGCCTTGTCTCCAAGAGCAGCGTGGGCACAGAAGCAGCTGGGTTGGTGGGTGTGGAGGTGGGAGCTCGTGGACGTTGTCTGGTCAGTGCCTCTGTCCTCTGGCGATGGGGTTAGCGATAGGAGAGATGGAGGGAAGTAGATGAGTTTGAGAGAAACTTAGGAGGTACCATGAGCTGGGCCTTGGCCAAGGATTCTGTGCAGAAGGAGAGAGGTGGGGGTGTGGAGCCCTGCTGTTCGCGAGGACAGGGACACTGGAAGAGGAATGGGTTTTGGGGAGATGGAGTCATGGCAAGTCTGGGGCACATCGGGGACATCCTAGCGGCCTTTAGATACGGAGATGCCGGTTTGAGTGGTAACTGACACACCTAACAGAAGCCAGCGCTTCAGATGAGCGGGTCTGCGGAGAGCAGAGTACCTCCACTGAAGTCCTCCTCCCACCCTGGCTTGCCCTGGCTTCCTCTCTCCTTGCCAGGACCACCATCCATGCACCCCGGAAGCCGTGAGCCTGGGCACTACCATCTTCTTTTCCACCCCCTTTCCAGGCTCTGCCAGTGTGACGTCTGGTGCGCTCCTTCCTGTGGCTGTACTCCCATTGCCTGGGCTTCTCTGCAGCTTGTTCCCCAGCAGTGGGACGTCCGTGGTCTCCTGCTCTCGCTGGCTGCCTTCCCCCCTTCAGGGGTGTGGTGGGGGAGGGGGTGTCTGTGGTTGTCTGGGGCACTCAGCCCCCTCACCCCGAGAGGAGGAGCCCCAGGTACGTTCACACCTCAGCACCTGCCCCTCTGCCTGGAACGTCCTTTTCTCCCCTCACCCTGTCTGCTTGGGGAGCTCCTGGTTATGCTTCGAGACCCTCTGAGCAGCTTTCCCCAGGCTCATTGAACTGTCTCCTTGTCTGCGGGCTCCCTGAGGGCAGAGCGTGCGTCTAGGCCATCTTCCTGCTGCCCCAAGCCCAAGGCAGCCTGGCTCAGCACAAACTCTTTGCTGCTGGTAGACTAAACCAGACTGCTCTGTTCTCTCAGTTCATTTCTAGCACCGACCCTTTCCAGAAGGCCCTGAGGGAGGAGGAGAAACGCAGGAAGAAAGAGGAGAAGCGGAAGGAGATCCGAAAGGGCCCGCGGATCTCAAGATCCCAGTCGGAGTTATAGCCGGGAGCAGCCCAGGGCTCAGGAGGAGACCAGTCTGGAGGAAGAGACAGAGGCTTCGATTGGGTGAGAGCTGGCCCATGTGAGCGGGGAGGTGGCGTTTGCTCAGCCCCCGTGGAGCCGGCTCTGCACCCTAACAGAAGTGACTGGGCCACAGAGGGCTGGATTTCCTTCCAGGGGCCTCCCTGGAGAGGGTGCCAGGGGGGTTCTTCAGGGGATGCGATGCTGCAGATCAAACCATCTCGAGATGCCGGGGGACGCTGGAAGGATCCCGAGCTGGACTCTCCCTTTGGGTCAGGACCACTGGCCAGCTGGCTGCCGCCCTTCATGAGGAGGCAGCAGCATCGGGCTCTGAGCCACTTGTAGAAGTGCCGTGCCTGCTGCCGGTCCCACCGTGGCACTGAGCTGCCGGGCACAGGTCCCAGCCCTCTGCAAAGACACAGTAAAAGCCAGCAAATCCTCTGGGCTAATGGATGCTGGTTTGGGCCCCAGGGAGCTGGGAACCCTTTCATGGGGCAGGGGCCTGGCAAAACAGTGAAGCAGGGGCTTGGCTTAGGTCTCCTCTACCCTTCAGAGCACTGTCCTTCATGAAGAAGCATCCCGGGGTTTAGCCAGGGACCTTAGATCTCTGTCTAACATGATCTCTGTCATCAGATACAGGGGACAGTCCATGAACAGGTGCAGGGTAGAATCAGTGTGTCTAGGAGGCCCTTGGGCTATGGGGAGGGGATGTCGGGGACTGGCTGTAGCTCTGCAGGAGGCTGTGCTTTGTCATGGCTGGGCTTCCCCAGGCTGGATTGGTCAGAGGGCTCCCCATGGCAGAGACCAGGGGACACAGAGCAGAGAATTAGGCCCTGAATGGGCAGCTACCCTTTAATCATGTCCCTCCCAGGCAGAGGAAGGAGAGGCTCTGGTGGGAATTCCAATTCAGTCTCTGACTTGCCAAGCTAGGTCGGCGTCTTAAAAGGGGAGAGACACATGACCATCCCAGAACCCTCCAGCACCCCAACACTGACAGAGTCCAAGAGAGACAGGAGTCTTGTCTCAGCCCCTCAGACTTGCTAAGTGACCCTGGCGCAGCCCTTCTCTGCGCTGTGGCTTCATTAGCAAAATGAATTTGACAATGTCTGAACCCTCTGTCCTGCCTTAAACTGCTTCTCTGAGGCTGGGGCCCAGCTTCTCAGGGACAGATGTTCTCTGATGGTTTTTCTATCATCCTTTAGGTTTGCTGAGCATCTCTGTAGGCACAACAAAAGAGAGGGGCGCCATCTTAACCCATCTTCACCTCTGTCCCATCTGGTGCCCCTCTCCTAGGCTCTCCATCTTGGTTAATTCCTTCCTCTCCATCCTCAGATGGGCCCAAGTTTTCCCATCTGACACGTTCAAAGAAAGAAACGGAACAACTCTGTTCTCCCTTCCTCTTTCCCTTTGATGCCATTGTTGTGGTTACTAGTTCCAGAGACTGCCTCAAGTCTTAACTGCAGGCAGAGCCTTCCCACTTCCTTGTCAGGAGGTGTAAAGGCCCCAGGGCACTTGTCCTTCTTCCTTGCACCAGGGTTGGGTCCTGTGGGCAATGTGCCATCAACCAGATGTACCAGCCTGCGTGAGAGTTGTGCTGATGGAGGTGGAGGCCGCTGCGACCAGAGGGAGCAGTGGGGCAGGGGATGGGTTGGTTCTAGTGACCAGACTAGACTAACGCCAGGGGTGCCCAGTGGTGGCAACAATGACATCTTTAGTGGTGTTTTCAGCGTGTTCTTGGATATTGTTCCTGTTTGCTGAGCTTCCAAGTCTAATCTGAGGCCCCCCTGGAGGGTCTGGGAGCCCCCTGTATCCTCAGAGGCAGGGTTTTTCAACAGTGGCACTATTTACATTTCTGGCCAGATAATTCTTTGTTGTGTATATGAGGATGGGTGTTCTGTGTGTTGAAGGATATTAGTAGCTTTCTTAGCTTCTGCCTACCAGATGCTAGTAGCAGTCTCCAGACATTACTAGATGATCCCACGGGCAAAATCTCCCTGGTCCACAGCCCTTGTCCCTCCTTATCCCAGCCCCACATCTTCCTCTTGCTGTCTTGTCACTGCTCCCAGAAAGATGTTGTTGGAACCTCTTTGAGATGATCCTTCCAGGCTTCTGGGCTGCCATGCTGTCCTGGTTCTCTGTCCTCAGTCTGAGTCTCCTCTGTCTCTTCCTGATTCTTCCTCTTTCCTCACCTGCCCCTTAAATGAAGCTTTTTTTTTTTTTTTTAAAGATTTTATTTATTTGTGAGAGAGCATAAGAGCATGAGCAGAGGGAGGGGCAGAGGAGAAGCAGACTTCCCGCTGATCAGGGACCCTGATGCAGGGACTCCATCCCAGGACCCCAAGATCATGACCTGAGCCGAAGGCAGACGCTAAACTGAGCCATCTAGGTACCCCAAAGCATTTTTTTTTTTTAAGCTTAGTCTCTCCTCTCTGCGCTTTTCTTTTTGGGAGCTGTATTCTCTGAGACCCCAAAGCTGATGTTATTTGCCCTCTTGCCACTGATAACACTCTGTCTTCATGTTTCAGCTTACCCAAAAGCAAACTTGTTTTCCATCCCCAAGCCTAATCTCTCTGTCAAACTGTGGGGTACACATTCTTGCCTAATTCCGGAGGAAGTGACAACTACATCCTGAAAGATTGGGGGAGGAGGGAGAAAGTGACAGGCACTCTGAGCAGAGGCCTAAAAGGGAGGCATTGAGGGTAGTAAATGAGAAAGCATATTCAAAGTTCACTTCTCTGCCCTGTAGTGATTGCCCCGGCTGTGGTAGATCTCTGGATATATGGTTGCCTGGTCCGTCCCTTTCCAGGTGAAGAACCCAGGTCCTGAGGAGTGACTTGTCTAAGGCTGCTCCATCTCTGAGAGTCAGACTCTGTTCTCCCACCCAGGGCAAGGTGCCAACTGGAGGCGATGTTCACTGAGTTGGGACCGAGTGCCACAGGGAGAATGCCAGTGTTTTGCTAAGGATGGGTGTGGGTGTGGTGTAGTCAGCTTTCTTCTGCAGTTTCTATAATTTTTTTTTTAAAGATTATTTATTTATTTATTTATTTGACAGACAGATCCCAGGTAGGCAGAGAGGCAGGCAGAGAGAGAGATGGGAAGCAGGCTCCCTGGTGAGCAGAGAGCGGGACACGGGGCTCGATCTCAGGACCCTGGGATCACAACCTGAGCCGAAGGCAGAAGCTTTAACCCACTGAGCCACCCAGGTACCCCTCTTCTGCAGTTTCTACTGAGCCTTCATTTGTGCCTCCTCCGGCCATTTTATTAGCACCGCAGCCCCTGGGCAGGTTCAGAGAGGAGCTGTGGGGACAGCGCGGAGTGACAGGTGCTGTGCCCACTCACCGGACCTCCTGCTGTTCAGTCATCCCTTTGCAGCGGCTTATTGAGGCTCTGGATTGGGAGAGCACTGGACCGAAGTGAGTTACGGTAGGCGGGCAGACAGTCACCTCTCAGTGGGGGGGGGCCCTGTGAGAGGCCTTGTCGAAGGTGGCACTGCCCAAGTCAGTGCTTAGTCCCAAGCAGAGCAGCAGGGTCTGGTTTTCCATTTCAGGGTGAGACTAATTTGTATAGTCTGCATGTGAACAGTGAAGAAACGTTGTCCTTTTTCCCCCCAAAATAATACATGTTCATTATAAGAAGTAATTTAGACAGTACTGAAATACCAAGAAGAAATAAAATTCACCCTAAATCCAACCACTCGGCAATCATGACGGACTCTCGGCTGTTGGGGCTCCAGCCTCTTAGCCCTTAATGTGAATACAGAGATCCTGTTTCTTCAGTTACCATAGCTCTCGCATATGGGCACATTCTGTATATGTCAGGCCTTATGCCAAGTGCTCACTGGCAGCTCCTCCTGCCTCAGGGCCTTTGTCCGTATCATCTGTTGCCCTGGCTACACCAGATGTGATTCTTAAGAATTTTAGATTTTATCTTAAATGTCTGAATCCTTCCTTAGTTGCCTCACATCCAGTACTTTCCCTTGATTACTTGTACTGTTGTCTGCTTTTCACATTTGTGTAATGTCTGTTCTCGTCACTACTGGAAGCTCCCGGAGGGCAGGAATTGCTTTTTTGCCTGTCAGAAATGTTCAATAAATACTATGAAACGAATGTGCGAATGATTTATTTCATTTAATCTTCCAAACTGAGAGGGCCCTATTTTCCCCGCATTTTAGAGATTTCAAAACGGAGGCTTAGAGCAGTTAAGTAGGCAGCCCAAGGTCACACTGCGTGAGTGGGTCCGAGTGTTTGCCCCCCAGGGTCTGTGTGCTCACCTCTTGACCCCAGAGCACCAGCAATCTCTTAGGAAACCTATTTTTCCTTTTTAACAGTATACTGTGAGAGTTGTCCATAGGGAGACATTTACGTGCCCAATCTTGGCTGATGCCATAGTATCCCACTGTGTGGATGTACTGTTCATCCTCCTTTATGAGGCTTCCCAGCTCGTCCCAGTTACGGGGAGGACTGTGTGATGAGCGTCTTTGAACTTAATATTTGCGCACTTGTTTGAGTTCTCATACTTTTTATTCCGTAGGATGCACTCCTGTTAGTTTGCAAATGTGTTTACATCGCGACCAGCTGCAAGATGGGGCAAGGAGGTGCTTGAAGGAGCGGGAATCTGCGGGCGGGCGGGCTGCGCGTCAGAATCTCTGCGGCACCGTGAAAACGCTCCTGCCCGGGTCACACCCTGGGGGGCCTGTGGTACCGGGCACTAGCACTGCTGCTGAACGTCTGCAGGCGTTTCTGAGCTACCCCCACAAGGGCCGCCGGAGTTGGCGCGTGGCTGCGACAGGTGCAAAGGCGTGGAGGCTGTAAAATGCAGTCCCCGGCCCGCGCCGAGCCTCCATTTCCGCCTTTGTAAGGGGCTTGCGAGGAACGCGACTTGAATGATCCAGACCCCTCGGGGCCCCAGTGTTGGGGGGCCAGGTTTGATTCTACCCGCTCTCCCAGGCAGGCTGGGCGGGGGAGCAGCTGGGAAGATGACGTAATGTGCTCAGAGCTCGCTCCGGGGGCGACCCGCAAGCGGGGGCGGAGAGGGTTAACCCTTCA